TGTGTGTCATGTTTACCCTGATTATACCAACCACAGGTCTCTAAGGATTTCCAGGAAGTGTCAGTATCTGTATAATTATCTTGATATATTCTTCAGAACAGCTGGTTTAAGATATATATAAATATATATTTTAATTCTATAGATAAATGAGGTTACATTATATATGTCTATTGATCTTCAGGTTAGGTGTGTGTTCAGCGCTCTCTCCACCGAGTTAAACCTTGTTCCTTTGATGAGCCAACCACATTTGTACCAGTTTGTGTCTTATCCCAGAGACAGTGTGTGTGACCGTTGGACTCTGTTGTGTATTTGGGGAGAGACATGTTTGTGGCTGGCTGTATCAGCAGTGTATACGTGTGTGGGTGTGTGTTCCTGTGGGCGTGTGTGTGTGTGTGTGGTAAGAACATTCAGGCCTGTCACAATAACCACTTTTGGTGTACAATATAATGCCCCAGAACTGATTGCGATAAACGATGCTATCGTCATTTTAAGACCATTTTATGCCACTAATCTCATGATAATATAGTAGCACAATAATGCAGGTACAACTTTTCAAAGAGCACAGAAAAAAAAAAAAAATCTAACATAAAACGTACAGGCTGCAGGTTAAGGGTGAAACTGAGAAAGGTAAAAAAAAAAAAGTCATTAAACCCGCAGGAAATATCTACACAGAACAATATGGGTTAAAATTTAACCTTAAATATCTGCAACTCACTACCATCTAACCACTGCAGGTAAAAAAAACTCATCATGATCTGATTACTTTGAAACTGGCATGCAGGCATGCACGTTTGTGCAATAACAAAGATTGATCTGCCTCGCGGCTACACCCCCGTTTGACCGTGTGAAGGCCAGCTTATTTCAGCCAGCCCTGCTATCGACCTGTTAGTTCTCCTAGCCTCCAGTGCTAATGTGCCATTATGTAATGCTTCAGTTTGACCTGGAGTGATTACCACCGCTGTCAAGCTGAAGCCATGTGAACGGCTGCATGGGTTTTGTAGCAGCTGGGAATTCTGCCAAACAATTTAGTCAATTGAATTTTGAGTGCACATCATATCTTTTTTTTTTTTTACTTGAAGGTTCTTGAGTCTGAGGAGCTTCAGATTGAACTTCACAGAGGACAGATGGTTTTAGAGGGACAGCCTGAGATAATAATATTAAGTGGAAATATAAGTTTGGTGTGAGAATGTGTGGCCTTCACTCTTACACAGTGCCACTTATGAATGAGTGAAAAGACGCACAGTGAGTCAGGATTTTTTTAAAAGGTAATAGAATGCAGAAAAAGTGTCCCAACTTAAGTCTCGTTCAGATCTAGATTAAAAAACTGCATTTTGCCTTTATTACAAGGGAGATAGTGTGCAGGTGACAGTAGTGTATTTTCTACCAATTGCAATTCGGCAACAGATACAAACACAGCAAAGAGATAAAACCATACAATTAAACAACACTCATTCAATGTGAAATTAAAGAAAATCATAGAATATTAAAACACACATCTGCTAGTCATAGGCTATATTAAAAAAGATATGTTTTTGAGTTGTTATTTAAAACTGTCCATTGAGCCAGAAAGTCTAATATTTTAAGACAGTGTTGAATATTTTTGGATCATAGCAGCTAGAAGATGCATCCCCAAAAGTTTTTGTAGTGACATTAGGAACAGTTTAAAGAGCAGCTGTGGAGGATCTCATGGGTCACGGAGGGATATAAGGTGATAGGGAGTCTATGATGTAAGAGGGGCGAGGCCTTAAAAACTACTAGAAGGACTTTAAAATCAATTCTAAAAGATACAAGGAGCCAGTGTGGGTTACGTAAAACAGGAATCATATTGTCTCTCTTTTGGTTTTTGTTAAAACCCTGGCAGCAGCCTTATGAATGACCTGTAATTTTGCAATAGTTTTAGGTAGACCAGTGTGTAGAGCGTTATAATAATCAAGATGACTGGAATATCTCAGCCTCTATGTGTAGTCCGATAAGTCAAGTCAGGTGTACTTAATCAATCGAAAAAAGAGAAGAATCTGCAGTTAAATGGATATTTATTGTCATTTTTCAGGCAAAAATGCTCGACCAACGCTAAATGCTTGCTGGCTCCATCTTTTCAGATTTGAGGATTTACTGCTCTTCTTTGTCATTCAAGTAAATGACATATCTTTGGGTTTCGGTTCATGTTCAAACAAATCAAACAGTTCGAAGGAAGTGCTTTTTGATGTTTCATAGGCTGAATAAGTAATCAAGAAAATAATCACTAGTTGCAGCCCTACTTGCAAGTTTCTCAGCTTAGTAGAAGTACAATACTAAATCACAGTAATAGCCCTTTAAGCCACTGCAGGCCATGTGGATGTCCTATTTTCTATTTGGGATTAATGAACTCCTCTCCTGCACTTTTATTTCCCTTCATAAATTTGGGGTAACTTGCAACAGTATCTACTGAGCAGTACTTGCACTCAAACTCATTCCCCTTCATTATTTTAAAAAGCTGTTTAAAGGAATACTTTACCCCCAAAATGATCATTTGTATATGAGGTACTTGTCCGGTGTAACGTCAAAATGGTGAAGAAAACTCACATTTCTCACATGTCTCCATGGCAAACAAAGAATCTAAAAACAGAGAATGAATTGGAGTAAAGGGGGCCACATTTAATATCAGTGACACTAAATCAAAACATTTGATTACAAACTCTCACACAAATTGTGCAGTATATTCCAAGTGTCATTTATCCAATCGTATGCTCAGTACTTCTCAGACACATTAATTTTCACCAAAACCTTACTATTTAAAATACTTGGGCATATCAGTCTCACACACTGATAAGTAGCACCCCAGGGCGACTGAATGGAAGGCATGAGCAGAGTTCAAACATGCACGTGCCCAGGCGCGTTACTTGTTTATGCGTAGGACTGTTTTAGAAGAAGTGTTTTAAATACTTAAGTTTTAGCAAGTAGCAGTACTGAGCATTCGATAAATGAGGCCTATTTCACACGTACACGGGTTTGTTTAAAAGTGTAACTTTTGGCATTTTGCCCACATGCAAATTATGTTTAAGTCACTAAAAACTGACCTTTTGTAAACTTGTTGGTGAAGATTCTCAGTCATCCAGGTCATGGTAATTTAAAGTGCTATATCGTAGGCAGCTGGACTTGCTTGAGTTTCTTGAAGATGTTTCACCTCTTGGAGGAGAGGTCTTCAAGAAACTAAAGCAAGTCCAGTACAATGTAGCACTTAAGATGACCTTTTGTAAAAGTACATCGAGGGTTAAGATTTTCAGAAACTCCATTTCCAGTGCTGATGTAGGGAGTTTTTGGCTTATTAAGTCAGAGTGTGTGCCGTTATCTACTTTGTTAGGCATCACAAATGAGGCAACATGCAGTGATGGATGTGAATGTACAGTTACTCTTCCAGTATATTGAGGAACAGAGGTGTCAGAATGTGCTATAAGCCCTGTTTCCACCGAGCGGTATGGTACAGTTCAGTTCAGTTCAGTTCGGTACACATTTTTTCAGTTTCCACTGTGAAAAGTTGTGGATGGTACCAATGGAACCATTTCGTATCGTCTCCATTTTTGGTCCCCCTCTGTTGGGGTACCTAGCACACAGATCTGGTACTAAAAGGTGGAGCTGTGAACACTGCAGTCTGTTGATTGGTAAATAGCAGACGGTCACTCTGCTCAGGGCTGAGCTGTGGCTGGTTTTGAGGCTCATGTAACCACTGTTCATACTGTGGAGAGTTTTAATAGTAAACTGTAACTATAAAATGAAAGGAAGTTTTGCTGCCTCTCACAGCAGCTGGAGTCGGAGAAAAATATAGCTTAATTCACCGGGCCAACTGCTGGCGACTTTTAAGGTGGAACATTAACTTGTTGTGTTACTCAATTCATGAGCTGTAGACATGAATCCATCAGCACACCTTAAATATTCAACATGACAACTTTGACCATTACTTTAGTTTTTATACGACATACACTTTTAGTAATGAGTGGATCTTCAAGCTTTTAAAAAATATATATAAATTTCGACCGGGTTATGTGAACTGCATATAATCTAATCCTCACTCGGAGACAAAAAAGTGTTGCAGAGCATTGCTCCTGTGGGCTCTGGCAACAGTAAACCCAAGAGCTTGCCTGAGAAGGACTAAATGCACAAACCTGCTGTTTTTAAATATAATCGAGAGACACTCCCACTGCAGCCTGATTTATTTTGTTCTGAAAATGTTGACTACCATCTGTGTCACCGGTAATGAGGAAATACAGTGAGTGCTGGACAGAGCAGTGAGTGACAACAACCCCGCCCACATTTAAGAGTACTGTTTGTGGTGGAAACCCTAGGGTCTAGGTACCATGTCTGAAGGGTTACTTTTGGTTCCAAAGGTACCGTACGGAAAGTGTTTGGTGGAAACTTTTTCAGGCTTTTGATTGGCCAACATCATCTTATTCCTCTATTCCCTTCTGTTGGCTTGGCATGATGTTGACACGGGATGAGTAATTGACATTCAATTGATCATTTTGGGGTTAAGTATTCCTTTAAATGCAGTTACTTGCCTTGAAAGAACTTTAAATTGACTCTGTGTTTGAAAGGTGCCACACCAGTAAACTTAACACTTCTGTCGTCATCGTACTTCCCTAAGACTATCTAGGAATAGACATTTATGAGTTATCTGTGTGTTTATTAGCTATGAATTTAGTAAAAAGGACACGTCTGATGAGTCATTTTATCATTGAGCAACAAAGGTGAGGACAACCGTCTTTGCCTCTGTCTCTCCCTCCTCTCGACCTCTCCTTCTCTTTAAAGATCGAGTGAGAAATCCTGATTGAGCAAACACTGTGGAGGAGTGACAAGTGGGAGCGGCGCTCAGAGAGAGGGAGTGTGATTACCTGCTGCTCTCTCTCTCTCTCTCTCTCTCTCTCTCTCTCTCTCTCTCTCTCTCTCTCTCTCCTTGTAGTCACCTCCCTCTCGGGGAGTGTACACACTCCTGCGCTCTCCCCTCCTGCTTGTTCACACACGCACTCGGCTTCATGCTGCACACACACACCCGGCGTCTCCTCTGACTGTCTGTGTGCACATCAAAGAAGAAGCTTGGTCAGGACTCTGCTCGGACAGGAGCGTAGTACGACTTGGACAGGCTCTGTATGTGTGTGTGAGTGTGTGTGTGTGTGTGTGTGTGTGTATGTGTGTTGTGCATGTGTGTGTTTGTAGAAGCAGTGTTGCTCCATGTGCTTGAGATAAAGCAAGCGGAGTGATTTTTTTTTTTGGTCAGGGTTTTTTGCCACTCAGATTAAGAACTTTTTCTGGCTCACTGACGGACCCGCTGCTTCTTCTAGTGCCAGTGTTGACTCTCTCGACAGGGTGAGTGCTGCTCAGCTCCCAGTTTGACTTTCACACACTCCCACTTGTTTAATTGCACTCTTTTTCCATCTCTTCCGTGTTGTCTCTTGATTTCTTTCATGCCCTACTTCCTCAGATCCTTCAATGAAATTCTGTTATTGAGCTGTTACTCTTTAGACCTCTGTCCACACAAATGTATGACTGTGTGTGTGTCTGTGTGTGTGTCTGTGAGCTCACTTTTTCCCCTGGGGATTCAAAGTGAGTGTGCATGAATACAGGCTTGAACAAGATGAAACAAAAATCCGTCTTCAACCGTTCCTCGCCTCCTCGAATCTGTGCATATTTGAAAAACTATTTTTATAAAGTTTCCCTGCACAGTGCAGATTTATTTGACAGCAGCCTCTGACTTGCGCTCCTTTCTAGTTTAATTATCCTATTGCTCAAACTTGGACAAGTAGCCACTCATTCGCTTCCATAAGCGTGGAAGTAGTTTCTATTTTTTGCTGACAACCAAAAGAGAGAAAAGAAAAAAATGTCAATATGAAACTGAAGCCGTTCCACAACAGTGAAAATGACATCATCATCCACCGTCCCAGTCAAGTCATCTCCACCACCACAGATGGCTATTTATGGCGGCGTCCACCCTTCAAAACACTACCATTCGCTGAAATATGTGCCTTGTGGTTTGAATCGCAGTCTGTTTGAGGTCTTTTCATTAAGCCTGGTATCCTGTTTCTCACGTCAAGGTTTATGAACCTATGAGCATGCAGAGCTGCTCGTCACAGCTGTGGAAGTGAAGCTCAGGGAGCTCCAACCTCAAGCCTTTTTGGGTTCTCACCAGACTGTGTCTCTGTAGCACCCAGTATCACAAAGTTGCCATTTAATTAGATTTTTAGGCTGGTTTTGCTTCCTGTTTCATCAGATAGTTCCTCATTTAAACAGGAAAATGTTTCTAACTTTTGCAAAGTTTTATATTTAACACTGATGCATTGAGCAGGTTGTTAACTTAAAGGTCCAGTGTGTAAAATTTAGTGGGATATATTGGCAGAACTGGAATGTTGAATGTGTAATAAGTATGTTTTCATGAGATCAAAAATCAACTTGAAATAAGACTTGTTGTGTTTTTGCTACCTTAGATTGAGCCATTTATATCTACATACAGAGTGTGTCTGCCATGTTGTTTCTACAGTAGCCCGGAATGGACAAACCAACACTGGCTCTAGATAGGGCCATTCATGGTTTCATGTTGGCCACAGTAGTTTTCCTACACACTTGGTGCACGGGAGTTTCAGTTGTTAGATTAGACCTTTTAAAAAAGGGTTAAACAAATTTATATTAGGGATGTTCACTTTTAGTCGTCTAGTCAGTGAAACGTTGCTAACCTCACTAGTCGGACAAAAATAAAGTTATTGCTAAAACCATCATTATTTTATTGCATTCAACCAGGCGTTTTTCCTAAAGACTGATATTCTTAAAAGAATTTCCCCAAAACTTAAGTAATTCTTATTTGTTAACTTTTATTTCATGAGTTGTTGTTTTGCAGGGTTAATTGCAATGTTCATACTGCACAGTGCAAAGTGCCACACTTTTCAGCGGCATCTAAAATACGATTTGGTTATTAAATATGATTAACAATTTCAAATGGCTCTTAACATATATGCTATGTTCCTTCAGACAATGTTTAAACTTATAGATGAAATTGTGCTCACGTTTGACCGTTTTCTGAGCCTTTTCTTTCTTTTAGACTAGTTGAGGAGTCAAAGTTTAAACTTTCATTCAAACGCCAGGGAAAATGTTAGTTGTGAGAAACATCCCAGTATATTTGAATCAGTTAGGTATTAAAAAAATATGGCTTGGTGTTTGTACTTGGTGTTTGTTTTGCATTGGATTGGCACAACACACAGGCACAGCCTTACTGATGTGTGTGTGTGTCAGTACCTGTGTCAATATAAAGAAAGACTCTTGAATGACACGTGGATGTTCTTTAATTGTTAAAGGACACAGAAATAGTGAACTCTCATCAAGTGGGCAATGATGGAAAACTCCCACTGATTTAATGTGATACCTGCCCTTATAAAGCATCAGTAGATGGATGCAAACACCATCAGTCCTAAACAAACACTTTGGTCTCATTCTCATAGGTTTGGCAGTTATCTCTACCTCTAAAAACAATGGTACATGCACCAAGTAGATTGCTGAGATCTGGGAATGCAGTGTCTTAAAAAGCCTTACTTTGCACATGACACTTTGCAGTCAGATGATTATACAGGTTTTAAACAAACCTGCAGGTTAGCCGAATGTGTTTGAAGAGTAAAATTAGGATTATGAGGATCAGAGTTTACCGACTCACTCTCTGGTCCAGCTTTGGGTACTTGCTGTAGTCATGCATACACAGTTTTTCTGTGCAGTGAGGGATTAGTACCAACATTACAGGAGCACTCACTTGAAGTGGAAATTAACACGTTTTTTGGTTTTAACCTATCATTATGAAGGAAATGTTGATTGCATGACATCATGACTAGAGCCTGACTGATGCAGGTACAGTCTATTTATATCTGTATCTATATCTATAGAGTAGTTTTCATATTGGTGCTTATCAGATAACATGTATGCCGATACTGATGCAGATGAAGATAGCTGTGACAGGCCAATATTCACTGACTTTATTGGCCAACAGGGATATCAGTCGGGCTATAGTAATGGCTATAAAATCGTGACACCATCAGTGTTTCAGTTGTTCCCTATAAGCTTCGCTTTCACAGTGCAGTCCTGTCTGCCACTGGGTCCTGACCTCCCAGGAAAGTTAAGGCTTAATTTCAGGCACAAAGGAAACACGTCAACCAATGCACAACCAAAACGGGAAGAGGACAGCGTTTGTGTTTTCCCTGGTAGCTATCGGTAGCTGTCCCCAGTCACCAAAGAGTGTCAGTATAAGTTTTTTGCAGTTACTGTCCTCAGTAGTGGAAGATGGCAGATGGTGGCACAACCAAAGTTTTTAGTAGTTAGGCTCTGAGGAAAATGTATATCAATCTGGTTGTCTTTGTGACAGTGGCGCCAACAAATGGAAAACACTAGGGGGGAAAGTTGAAAACTTTTTCACTGAAATGTTTTACCACCAAATAAATTGGCTTGTGTTTTTTTGCTGCTTCTGACTTTAAAGTAAAGTTACTTTGTTCCCAGATCTTCACAGTCATTTTAATGGATATGATGGTACGATAACATATAGATATGATGGTCAAAACTCCAGAAAACAAGATCGTAATGATCCTTTAATCATAGCGTCATGTCCAGTTGTAACAGACTTCTTTACCAAAACCTGGTGCCTACATTACCCACAATGCAACTTAACTGCCAGCATATTTACATTATCAAACTTGGCATTTTCAGTTTTATCTTGTCTTTGAAATAGGCTGGAAGAAAAAGACCAATTTGGATCGCTCCGCTATCATATTGACCACAGATTCACAGATGCTGCCGAGGGACAGAGAGAGTCAGTGCCAGCCTGATTAGGAACTCACTAGCCTTCCAACACAACACATTTATTGTCAATATTTTTAAAATACATAACGTAAATCCCACTGCAGAGTTGTTTTTCCATCCATGAGTCGATTGGCTTCATTCATATTTTCCACACCCTGCCCACCGGACTCCTATATACGTTAATCATTGATTCACTGCTGTCTGTTGACCTGTAAAACTGCCTCCTAGAATAAAGGGCTATTGTGAGCTAATCTGGACATCTAAATGTGTAATCGTGGATGCCATCGCTTGCAACAGTACTTTAAAAAATAACAGCATGGTGTCAGATCATGACACTTAAGCGGCGTATGTCGACACGTTGGATGAAACTAAGATTTAAGAGATTTTTATTTTTGCGTGGGTTTGTGCGTGACTGTGTGGATATCTGTACAAACACACCCTCTTGTAGAAAATGTGGATTCATAGTTTCTCAGAAGTCATTTATAGCTCATGTATATGCTGAATGCATACACAAAGCTCGAAGATCCCCCAGGTAAAGCCACTCACAGACGGACACTCGGCCATAGTCTGTCTTATCCTTTCATACTCATTCACACGTGTGCTCTATAGCAAATGAAGCAGCTATTGGATTACCAGTGTGGCTGTTATCCTATTACAAGACAGAGGTTGAGAGCTGTCATCTGTGTGTGATAGCAGACAGTCTGGACTGGGGGAAGTGTGTCTCACACGCTGGGATAAGAACAATGAGTAGGTGTACATACATATTGTTAACACACTGGCATGACGTGTGTTCACACCTGTACTTTCCTCGTCTTTAATTTCACTTGGAGCGTTTACAAAACATTACATCGACAGACTGAGAAGGCGGGGCTGCTGCATGCTTGGGTTTATAAGTAGTGGGTTTTTGGATCAGGTTTGGGATCGTGGGGTCGTCATTGTTAGGTCGAGAGAGGGCCAAAAGTCCTTACAGAGAATCAGTTGGAGGTACTGATAATAGATGTTGGTCCAAATTGTATTTCTGCTCATACCTTCAGGCCCAACGGTGCTTAGGTAACCGATATCTTGACACCAGTAAGTAAACTTTGAACTCCCCCTCCTCCAGCACCGAGCCTTGGCAAGCCAAAGAGAGGAGTGGCTGCTAGTGTATGCATTTATGAGTTATGAGGTGCTTAAAAGACAGCCTGTAGGTGAGGAATAGGTGCATACGTATGCTCTGCACGTCTCTATACAAGTTCAGACCTACACAGAACCTCTGGCAGAGCAAACCAGATGTACAGTATTTCTTTTTTAAAGTCATATCTGTATTTTCAGTTTAGCTTTATGACTGTTTTTACAGCCCCCTTATTGCGGTTGCTGCTGTGACTCACTGGTCACGGACTAAAATAAATTTCCCTCTGACAAAAAAGGGCTGTATTTTTTTATGTTATTTTGCCAGACACAAAGGCTGTCAGAGAAGCCGTGTGAATTAAACAGTTTTTCTGCTGTCACTGAATGTGCCTGACGGTCTTTTGATCAGCAAGAAGCCGGTGTAAAAATAGCCG